TAGGTGCCTCTACAAGAGTCAACACAGCTTACTTACCAAACTCAACCTCTGCCTATTCCAGGAGCTTCACACATCAAACACCCACTTCAGTCTCAAGGCACTGGTATTTTCTCAACATCTGCCTAGAATTTCCTCTCCTGCAAACAGCCAAAAAGAACTAAACATGCCTCACCAAAAAAGCAGCTGCATCAAAACAAGAGGTTCCTATGGGCTCATAGGACCCTTAGCTGTCAAACTTGGCAGACTCTTGCCAGTGATTCTTGAATTATGAGCCAGATTCTTCTAGGGTGACCACACCCATATCAAGCCACATTATTTTAAAACACTTTTGAGTCAGAGGACTCCAATTTGGAAACACTGAACCATGCGTTACCAGACCTACAAAACACTGGACACGCCACAACACTGAACCTCCGTCTCATGCTCTGTGAGGTGGAATTGAACTTCCCCATAGGATGCTGCGGAGCGATACAGTTCACAATATAAAATCTCCTGTGGTGCTAAATATACCTAGGCGGTTTGTATGCTGCACTTGGGTACCTAGATTGGGTGACAAGTGGAAGCTAGAAGCCAGCGTGGCTTCTACTCACCTATCTGTATCTCCGCAGATGTATTTATCTAAAAGCAGCTTTAAAAATGTACCCTAAGATACACAAATGTATTCTAAAAATAGTCTTGGCAGGGCTTAATACATGTTAGGCCTTAGTAGTCATTAGTAAGTAATCATTATCCACCCAAAGAGAAAATCATCACTGTTGTTGTTGAGATAGCAAAATTTGAATACATTTCCCCAGGCTGACAATATTTCAGGATAGTTTAAAATAAAAGCTTTGACTTCAGGCTGAAGTTTGAGGCCCAATTCTGCCACTAAATATGCTGAATGATCATAAGCAAGATATGTAATCTCTCTGAGCTTCAGTTTCGCCATCTGTGAAAGGGGAATAATTTGGAAGGATTAATGGTGACTTGGTAATTACCGTCTTCTGCACACCTCATGTTTCAAGTGTTCTGGGACCTAGCTTTATGGAGAAGTAGAGCCCGGATCAACAGAGGTAATCAAACACTCATTACTATAATTGGTATTTATTAAAGTTCTAATGTGTTCTAGGCTCCGGAGAGCTTATTCCATCTACTGAGAATTTCCTGTTTGCCAGATAATGTGCTAAGCACTTCATATACATGATCTCATTTATACTCGCAAACACCTCACAAGGTAATCTCTTTTAGTATCTGCTTGAAGGAAACTTAGAAACTACTTCAGAAAGCAATGAACAAATACTTGAGTACACTTAAGTAAGCACTAAACATGTGAGGACAAATTGCATTTTGGGATAAGAACCGGAAGGATGGGCTGAATGATGTGCTAGCTAGAAATTGAAGCTCCATGTTGGAGGCACTCTAATTGCCTCTCTCCTTCAGAGGTATTGAAGTATTATGCAGCAGTCAGACGTGATAATATATGTCTAGGAATTGCAATGGGCCTCAAAATCTGTATTAAATGACAAAAATTGAGCAGCGAGGTAAGATTTATAACATCAGAAAATTAGAATGGAATGTGTCAAGTTGCAGGTGGGCATTGTGGGTCTTCGCTCCCTAGGAGGGCATCTTAGTACTATGAGCAGACATCCTGAGTACCGCAGGGAAACCTCAGAACTATACGTCTATATCTGGTCACCTATGTGTGCACAAAATGATGGTAAGAAAACCCTTCCCCCAAGTTGTCAGAGCCAGGGTGTGTCACCTGACTAAAATTGTTCTGCTGGGAAACCCTCTTTGCCTCATGTGAGCTCCACACCTACACCTTTTTCTTATGGTTTGTAGATTATCTTATCTTACCCATATAAAGGGGAGAAGGACAAAGCTTGGCCAAAGTGGGAATGATTCTCAACTTAGGATGTGCTAGCTAATCAAACAAATAACACTGTCTTTTCTAACTACTGTCCTGTCCTGCTTGGTGGATTAAATGGAGGAATGTACAGGGTAAGACACAACAGGCTGAACATCAAGCATCTGAACCACCTCTAGCCCAATATAATCCCCAAACAGGGAAGCCTGGGCTTTTGAAAATGGTAAGCATATCTTGGACCAGCAAACAGAGACCAGAACCTCCTCAGACATCTGCCTGGTTCTGAAGACCTGTGACTACTATGAGTATGCTTGAGTCTCACACTCCTCACCTCTTAGTTTACTTGGGACAAATGCATTCTCCAAGGTAGCCCGGGACCTGTCGTAAGTACAGTCTACTGCCACCAAATATACAGCCAGTTTGAAAAGGCCACTATTTCCCTCATCTGTCTCAGAACTAATTGTTAGCCCCTCTGAGCCAAAGGTCATTTAATGACTTTTTGCTACTCTTCAAAGTTTGTAATAGAGGAAAACAAAGACATGTACTTATAGCAATTGCCTCATGCATCTCTGTGGGGATATCTGGGGCTCTAAGAACAGATATGACTGGGTTTGGAATGTGAAGAATGCTAAGTGAAGCCACCAGAACAAAGCAGAATTTGCTCTTGGACATCCTGACTTTCCAGTGGGAATGAGGAGGAGGTCGTTATGGTCTCTGAGCAGCCACCGGAAATATAAAGGCACTGGGTTATATATGAACCCAGAAATAGGGACTACCTGAATACATCATGGCAGAGCTCACCACCTCCCACAAAGTCTTGTTTCACACACCGTCTGCACATTTCCAGAAAATCAAAGATAAAAGGACAAATCACCCTACCAACTGTACTCCAGTTTATCAGATGATAATGCAATCCCAGGGGGAAACAATGACTTGTTCAGGATTGTGTGCATCAAGAGAACCTGAAGCTCTGGGAGATGTTACCAACTCCCTCTGCTCTGTTCTTGTTCTGAGTAAAGAAAGCAAGACTCTTGCTGACCTCAGGTTCCTATCGCATACCTTGTGTGTACTGGTGAGACTTGCAAAGGCATTCCTATCAGTGCTTGGGTTCAACAAACAGGCAAAAAGAGACTGTACAGTTCCCCATCACTCTCATGAGTTCATGAGTTCACTGCTCATGAACGTCCATTGACCAGTCCTCCAGCTAACCAAATACTTTTGGAAGCTCCATGGTCAATGTCGAATCTCAGTAAACCAGATGATGATGCCTTGCCTCCCAATGACACAGAGACTTGAGTTCACAGTCTCACTTCCAAAGGTATAGAAGGGTCACCAAGGCTACTGAAGATAGCGAGATCAAATTTTTTGGTGTGTGTGGAAACCCACATCCCACTTTTGTGGGTAACTGTGGGTGCTATTTCTATCACCGACCTAGGCCATTACTCTCTCATGTTGCACAGAGGTCAGAAGCCCTAACTATTGTCTATCCTGGTTTCTCCTCCTTTCTTAACAAAAATTCCATTGCAAAGGCTCACCCAAATTCCCTACAGTGATTCCCAACCCAGGCAGATACTAATTCATTTCAGCTCTACCCTGGCTCTAGCTTGATCTGTGTACTCTCGGCCATCCATGTCCTATCTCACAGAGGGATATCCCTAGCCACAGATCTTACAGAGGCTGCTTGATCCCAACCCTTCTGTTCATTCACTGCTTTCCAAATATATCTAAACACCTCTAAGAAAGAAGCTTGGAGACTTCCAGACTATTTGTAGAACTGAAATATTAACTCTTACCCCTGTAACGTAACTACAGAAGAAGCCTGGTCTTTTTGAGGAAGACCTTAAATCGTTTTTATTATACGAGACTTCTTCATAGGCAAGCATGAGGAAATCGTGAGTCAGGGCATTCGAATCGACCTCTATGTTCCAAAGGCTCTTTCTCGAGGATTGTCCTGTGTTCTGAAGGACCACCACTTGGCATTCTCCAAAAACACAAGACAACTATGAAAAATTAAGTATGGCTGCTCAGTTGTCAGTCTGTTCACTTAAGTGGTATGGTTGGCTATTTTTCACTTGCTCCTGCAGGTCCACAGGTAGACTTCATAGCTAGTCTCTCTTGCCATGTAATTGTGTTTTATCTAGAAAAATATGGGGAAGTAATGGGTCCTTCTTCTAAACCTGACCAGTAAAACATCAAGAGAAAGTCTTTGTCCCTTCTCGCACCCTCATCTCCAGTTAAATGAAGATTTAGAGAAAAGTCGGGTCACAGAATAAAAGGGTTCAAACCCAAGAATCACTTCTAGGAAACTGCTTACCATGAACACCCCATTGACTGTATTATAGTAAAGAAGGAAAAAAAGAAGGAGAGAGAAAGAGAGAGAGAGGGAGGGAGGGAAAAAAGAGGAGAGAAGGAAAGAAAGAATAAAGAAAACCTTTATTGATTGAAATAATAGATGTATGGACAATTTTTGCAACAGTCAGTCTATTTTGACTAACATATTAATATTTTTCAAAGACAACAGCCAGAAATAATCCTGGGGCTGAAGAGCCAACTCAGTCATAAGTGCCTGCTTCACAAGTGTGAGGACTCGAGTTCAATCCCCAGAACCCACATACAAATTCCAGGCATGAAGGCACATGTTTGTAATTGCAGAACCAGGAAACAGAGATAGATGGATTACAGGAACTTTGTGGCCAACCAGACTAGAGTAATTGCCAAGCTCAAACTGTGGAACAGTGAGAGCACATATCTGTAACATGAGGGGGCTGGCTTGTTTGTCTTTTTTTGTCTCGCCAGGCCCCCCAGCTGTTTAGTCTCAGAGGAAATCACACAAAGATCTCTATAAGTTATAAAGCTGATTGGCCTGTTAGGTCAGGCTACTTATTAGCTAACGCTCATATCTTGATTAACCCATTTTTTTGATCTATTTTAGCCATGTGGTTCAGTACCTTTTTTAGTGGGGCAGCTCACATCCTGCTGCTTCAGTGGCCTGGGCAGGAGTGTGAGGAATCAACTTCCTCCTCCCCAGAATTCTCCTGCTCTCCTTGCATCATTTCCACTTCCTGTCTGGTTTTCCCGCCTATACCTCCTGCCTGGCCAATCAGCATTTATTTAAAACATGATTGGCAGAATACAGACAATTCTCCCACACATATCTCAATAAAACAAAGGGAAAGAGGAGAAAACATCTTATGTTGGTCTACACACACGTGCACTCACACACAGCCATGCACAGAGCCAAAAACATGTTTGCTTCCACTGGTAACTCAAGAAGAAGTTGAGGTAGAAAAATCATTACAAGTTCAAGGACAGGTTGAATTGCATAATGAGTTCCAGTCAGCCTTGGCTGTATAGCAAGATGTTGTCAAAAGAAATTAAAAATAAAAAATTATCTTCTGGCTTCAGTCATCTGTCTGTTTATCATGAAAGCATCTTGAGATCCACAGATGGCAGGGAAATATTTGCCATCTATCTTGCAGTCAAGCCGTGATGACTGAAGAACACAAATTCTAAACATAAAACAAGAAAAATTATCAGAGGAAATAAACAATTCGTAAGTTGCAAATGACTAGCAAAGCCCTGAAATAATGTTCAACTTCATTAGCAACCTCAGAAATGCAAATTAAAACAGAAGTGGGATCATTTTTCATCAATTAGATTGGAATAGGCCCAATTAGCTTAGCTTGACAGTATGCAGGACAGGCAAGTATTTGAGGGGATTTAGAACTGGTGTAAATTGCCACAATTTTTAATAGCAATTTGGTTCTATCTATCAACACACAAAATATTTCGCCTATGAAAATACAAAATATACGGGCTTTGTCCTCACCAGTCACATTTCCTGGGTTATTTGTATGATGACCAGAGGCGATGCGTTAAAGGGTTAACCACTACAATACTGATTATATTAAAAATTTGCCTTAGTCATCAGTGTCAAAAGGACAACGGTTTACCAAACTAAGGTCCTTCCACATGCACTACAGGAAAGATTATACAGCTGTTGGAGAAGCAAAGAAGCAAAGAAAGAAGGAAGCTTAACAGTCTAGAAGGGTGTATGACTGGAAAGAACTTTCCCTGTTGTCTTTGAAATCTATTGATGTTTAAAGCTGAAAACAGTGAGTGGCAAGCACCTACTGATTCTCAAGTCGAGACCTGACCTTACCTACCAGGGTCTTTCCTGATTAATCCCCCCCACACACACACACACACACGCACATGCTTCCATGGGTTAAAATTACCTCGCTAGAAATCCCCCACAGACGATTCTTCGGAAAGCAGTTAACGTGAGTAGAAATATAGTCATGTTTCTTTTCCCCAGTTGCCCAAGAGGTGTGGATACGAAGCTAGAGGTGCTTGCCTGCAGCTTAGAGAGGAATAAAAGATCAGAGGCTGCCACATTTGGTGCTGGGAGAGGAAGGGAGGACAGTGTCTACCCTCCTGCAAGGCTGGGCTGGACAAGGAGGCACGAACTTTCCTTACATCAAGAATACACATGGAGCCCCATGGATCTCTTATCTAAATATTTTGTAAAGTATAAGTCAACTTAAATACACCATTTTCTGTTTTCCTACACTGACCTAGAAAATTGTCTTAAAGCAACAAGCTCTTAGAATCAATGGAGCTCACTTCTGAACGCAGAAGCAAAATTGACCCAATGACAGCTGGCATTGACCCAAGTTCCTGAGCCAGTCACACATATACAGCAGCTCCAACTACATCCCCAGCAACATCTCATGAACAAGGGATGTACTTGCCTGAAATAAAGCTTATGTGAACCGAGCAAAGAAATGGCCTTGGAGCTTATTTGAGGTTGTTCAATGACCTTAAAACTTATTTGAGGCCATTCAAGGAATTCTGAAGTCCAGCTATCATCCAAACAAGTCTAGAAGAGCTGGTAAGATCCAGGTAGAAGCAGTCTTATGAATGACCAAGTTCAAATGAGAGAGCCACAGGTCAATGAAGATGGACCAGAGTAAGGACCCTGTGTGTTGAGATTCAAGGGCGGTGCCCTTCTTGCTCAAAGCAAAGATGGACCAAATGAGCTCTGCAGAAAAGTGGATGGAGCCAGGAGGCGAGTAGACCCTAAGGTATGCCCTCAGGCTTGGGCTTAGATTTGGGGAAAGGGAAATTTATCAGATGATGTTGAGAGAATTTTCCCGAACAGCCAGCATGTGGGCCCCTGCTTCAGATTACAGCACAGTAGTAAGGGAAGACTTTACTCCTTTTGAATTTCTTCTTTCCCACCCAGAGTGAACCAATAACCACAGTGACACCAGGTGCAAGGAATTTGAAAAGACGGATCACATCATTTTGGGTCAGGACTGAGCTGGACTCAGAGGAGTTGGTGGAGTGGTACAGAAAGAAACTGAATTCAGTGAGAGATTAAAGACTGGATCCTGCCAGGTGGACTCTTAAACACATGGCAGTAATCAGAAAGCTGAGTTCCTCTGAGCCGCCTTCAAGAAATTATAAAGGAGAATCCCTACAGTCTATGTAAGCGAGAATGGGGAGAGTTACTGGTCAGTTATTAGATCCGCTCAAAGCAAGGAAACATAAAACCAGCTGAATATGTGTATATGCGTGTGTAAGAGTGCATATGTGTGCATGGGTATGAATTTTATGATGGTTGCTGTAGCGGCAGGTACTCTGGAAGAGTGAGTATGAGAAGGAAGGGGGGAATTTTGACTTCTCAATCCACATATTCTGAATTACTGTTGTTTAAAAATGTCTAGGAAGAGGACCTAGGTATTTGATGATGTATAATTGTCTCTATTTTGCCCAGAGAGGCACTTAGAAAATTTCTTGAGCACAAGAGAAAAAAATAGAACCCAAGCCAAACACAAGATTTAACTGGTGTATTATACATTTCCCTTCCAAGTGTTGCCACAGGCCAAACTCCATGATTCTGCTGGGGGACAGGGGTTGTTATTATTCCAGCCGTTGTCATAGCAGTCAGGGTTTCATGCTATCACCCTTTTCTCCCCAGACATTACTCGGCTAATACAAGTTCCAGACCTACAGCCACAGGCATCTGCGCCAAAAGGAAATATCTATGTGCGGCTGCAAAACCCACCCAGACAGCCAGCCCTGTGCTCAGAGCTGACTCCCACATTCTCAGTGCCCGCAGAAGCCAAGAGGAAAAAGTGGAGTCCTGTCTCGACCCAACAGAAAAGGATCCTTAAGGATGCTTTACACTTCCAGGAATGTCCATCCTCTGTCACCTTGGGGACACAATTGGTTCCAGCAATAAGAACTGAGATGGATTCCATTAGAAAGAAAGAAAAAGATGAAGAGCTAGTTTGGTGGCTGGCACCTATAGTCACAACACTTGAGATACTGAGGCACGAGGATTGCTACAAGTTTCAAGCCAGCCTGGGCTACCAAGTGAGTTCTAGGCTAGCCTGGGTTATAGTGTACAACCGCGAAGTGAGAGATGGGGGAAGGGAAAGAGACAGGGAAGAGAGGGAGAGTGGAGAGAGGAGAGATAATCAAGTAATTTGGTAGTCTGCCCTGGATAAGTTTACATCCTTACAATAAAGAGTCAGAGCCATTTAGCATTTTCTTGAATTATTTCCCTATTCCATGACCCATGACCTACTTCTTTTGATTCTGGCCTCTGTTCTTTCCCACTTACTACATAGAAACAACAACCATTTTGCTGTGGAACAATGTTTTTGTACAATATGAACATGTACTACTCTCGTTGGTTAGTAAAGAACCTAACCTAGCCAACAGATAGGCAGGATTTTGGAGCAGAGGAATTCTGGGAAGAAAAAGGGTGAAGTCACCAGTGAGACACTGAAGGAAAACAGAAGGTGCAAGATGAAATAGAGGTAACACCACATGGCAAAATATAGATTAACAGATATGGGTTAATGTAAGTTGAAAGATTTAGCTAGTAACAAGTCAAACCTATCGGCCAAGCATTTATTATTAATAAAAAGTGTCAGTCTGGTTATTTGGGAGTAGCTGTCAAGGCACAGAGAAACTCTGCCTACACCATCCCTTGAGCCCTTCAAAGTTGTAGGTGTTAACTCATTAACTGAAGGTTTTTAAAAATTAACTTACAGCCTAGCAAAATACAAGAATTGCCTTAAATTAAATGTCACATTCTTGTATGTGCAGAGAACATCCCTAGGAGTGTATACTCTGGAGAACATGGAGTAGGACATGGAAGAAAGATTCTCATTCACCCAACAAAGATTACCCAAGCGTTTTATATATGTAACCATCCATATAAGACGTCAGTGAGCAAAACACTCAAAAATGCAGACCTCACTGGCTTGACTTCAAAGGCAGAAAACAAAATAACCAAGCTAAGCTCATGATATATTAAAAGATGCTTTGGAACCACTCACAAGGCTCAGAAGCACAGGACACGAGAGAGATGCTCTTTCAAGTGCATGGACGATGGGCCTCACTGAAAAGGAGTTGGGGAAGCCATGAAGATTCAAGATAAGCATTCTACGGAAAGAAAACAGCCACCGCAAAGGCTAAGAGGTGCTGTGGAAGGACAGCAGAGGGGTGGCAGGTGATAACTGGAGGAAAGGCACAGGAAAAAGACGGATGAAGAAAGGTTGGGCCTGGAGGGCCATAGCTGGGATTGAGGGTTTTCTCTGAGTAGAACAGGGAGCCACTGGAGGACGTTGAGCAGAGGGCTGCGATTGTCTTGTGTTGCGGAGGCACACTAGGATTCAGGACTGCCAGGGGACTATGGTAAGGTGAAAATATAGCATCAAGTCCATTCGAATACAATCAGGATCCGTGTTGCTAGGCAAACACTCTCAAATGTGAGAAAGGCAGTCCCTTTGAGAGCCAGCATTCTGTTTTAGGCAAGTTACCCTACCTGTCCAAACAGGCCCTCAAGACTTCAACTGTTTCTGCAAAGCAAGATGTCAAACTGAACCACACAAAACTGGCCTCGGCCACAAAGGGTTGTGTAGTCACGCTAGGGCTGCAATGCTGTGCTTTCCCCAAAGCCCCCCACCCACCACCACCAGGCTCATTACCACCCACTGAAGTGCATTATCCTTGTAAAATTACCAACCGCGAACCCAATCTCAGGACAGTCAGCTTCAAACTCAGACTACAGCTCACTCTTGGGAGGACTGCAGGAAGGTAATTTCCCATTACAGAAATGGACTGTCTACAGAAACGCCATGCCTGATCCTGCTCACTGTCTCATCTCCCTTTTCTCCCCTCACCCTCCAGAGGATTTTGCTGGTTCTCTTCTCTCTGGCCAAGAGTAAATTGTTCTTCACCATTCTGTGGGTGCTTGGTCTTCTCACAGGTTCCACAATTCCAGGAGGGAGAAAGACCCAGTCCCAGAGACTCCAACCACAGAGTGTGGCTCTGTGTCCAAAAGCTTACCAGCCCTAGGAGAAAATGGTTCTCGTGTATGCATGAGCGCAGACAAGTGAACTTATTAGTCCTTATACTAGGATTAAATAAATTCTCTGTCTAAGCATTGCCACTGAAGTCTTATAACTTGTTGAAAAGATGAAACAGGAGCAAGAAGATAAGCACACCTGGACTTAACTGTGGGCCCCAGGAGACAGGTCTGATACCAAGGTTCCTGGGTTAGTTCACTTCTGCTCCAGGGTGGTATTTCCTGTGTGAATCCTAATTCCTAAGACTACAGACCCTGTTTTGGGTCAGATATTGGTAATGGAACTTTGCTCCTGCCAAACTGGTAGCATATTCTGGATTTACTTTGGCATCAGAACTTCCTAAAGATGGGTAGCATGTTAGAAAAATAAAGAAGAGGAGCCAACGAGATGACATAGCAAGTCAGGGTGCTTGCAGGCAAACCTAGTGATCTGAGTTTGATCCTCAGAACTTACTTGGTAGAGGGAGAACAGACTCCCATCAACTCACTTTGACTTCTATGAGCATACACCTGTGTGCACACTGCTATTCTTTTGCGGTCACTTTAAGGACTAACCACGCCCACCCCAGCCACTTCTGACCTCCTTCGTCGCCATCTTTCTCTCTCTTGTGTTTGTCTCGTGTCGTGTGTACATGTGTCTTTGTTTCTCTCTATGTTTCTCTTATGTTTCTCTGTTTTCCTCTTCTTTAAGCAATAAATGTCTCCCTCTTCTTTAAATAATACTATGTCCTGTAAGCCTTTTACCTGACGTAGCCGCCCGCCTGACTCCCCCGGCCGCATGGCGCTGCCACCCTGGAGATCTTGCAGGGACCCACAGCCATCCTTGTCGGACTAGAAGCTGCTCCGCGAGCCGCCCGGGGCATCCCATCATCATATTCTTTTAAAAGAACAATATACACAAATAAATGTAACAATTAAAACTGTTTTTTTTTTTAAAAAAAAAGGCAAGAACAACAAAAAAAGACTCTGTAGCCAAACATTTGGCAGAGAAAGAGTGAGTCCAAATTGGAGTCCAAAGTGGAGTTCAAGGAACCCCATGGAAAAGGGGTAAGAAGAATTGCAGGAGCCAGAATAGTTGAGGACACCAGGAGAACACAGTACACAGAATCAGCTAAGCAGGGTTCATAATGGCTCACAGTTTATGGTTGTTAGCTTGGTGTTTTGTGGGACTCCTAACAATGGGAGTAGGGATGTCTTTGACTCTTTCGCTGGCTCCTGAATCTCTTCTACTCCTACTAGTTTGCCTCACCGAGCCCTGATATGAGGGTTTGTGCCTAGTCTTGTTGCATCTTGTTTGGCTGATATCCCTGGGAGTCCTGCTCATTTCTGGAGGGAAATAAAGGAAGAGTGGACCTGGAGAAGAAGCGGGTGGTTAAACAGTGGAGGGAGGGGAAACAGCAATAGGGATATATTGTACGAGAAAATAATAACAATAATAAATATAATAAAAGGAAGGCTTGTGTAAAATAGTTTTAGTCTTAGTTAGGGTTTTTATTGCTGTGGAGAGACACCATGACCATGGCAACTATTATAAAGAAAAACATTTAATTAGGGTGACAGTTTTCAGTTTCAGAAGTTTAGTCCATTATCATGGTGGTGGGCAGGCAGACATGGTGCTGGCTGCATCTTGATCAGAAGGAAATAGGAAGTGGACTAAGTGTCACACTGAGGGAAGCTTCAGCAAAAGAAACCTCAAAGTCCGCCCCCACAGTGACACATTTCCTCCAACAAGGCCACACCTCCTAATTGTGGCACTCTCTTTAGGGGTCACTTTCTTTCAAACCACCATGGGTGGTATTTCAAAAGATAACCCTTGCAAATGTTAATCTGGGGGATCTGTTAGACAATACCAGCTAAGTAAAAGGTTATCATAGGGTCTACAGTCCACGGGAGATGTTTTCTGGAGTCTTAACGTCAGGAGCCACTGTTATAGAAATAAAACAATCTCTATTAGATGAGGTCACAGTGGGTATAGACAGCTCCCTGTCTGATGTGCTAGATCAGATGTATCATCCAGTGGTTTAGATCGAACATAAACAGCTAATCTAGGACATCTGCAGTATTAAAACTTCATGGGTCAGGAAGATGGCTTTTAAAGGTATCTGGAAAGAGTTAGGGGAGAATGGTGGATAAGGAAACCTTGGGAATGTTGGCAAGAGAGAGAGTATGAGGAATGGAGTTGGAGACAGATGTTTTGCTCTGCTAAGTTCTGTTGTGAAGAGGATCAAAGAAATGGAGCCGTAGACTGAGGGTGTAGAGCTAAGAACCTTCTCTGTAGTTCCCACTGCAATGTAAATCTGGTGCTCATAAAGTGTTGGGATGGGACAAACCCTTCTCTCAAGTCTCTCCAGACGCCAGCTCGGCCACTCTCCTCAGGCACGCTGTACGACAAGGATCGTTAAACACTGTGAAACTAAAACCCAGAGAGGTCAAGAAACTTGCCCCCTCTCAATGGTACAGCCTTAGACCTAAGCCTGAAACAAAAACTCCTAACCAACACCTAAATTAACCTTATATTCTGTTTCTTTGAGCAAAGTTTTATAGTGTTTCTACTTTCTGCATTCCCTTTCTATGAATAAAAGAAACAATCATACATTTCTGAAACTTTAGATTTGGCACCTCCTCCCTAAAACTTGGTCATTCTCGCTCCACAAACTTCTCCAAAAGCACATCTGGCTCACTTTGTCTTTGAGTCTCCACTCCGTTCCAGCTGTCAGCCCTCAAACTCCGAGTTTAAATCTAGACCAGTTTACACACGCTCATCCAGATTTACCCACAGAGCTCATAGCTTTTTTAACCCCCAGGGTTTGTGGAGGAGTGAGAAAGAGGTGGGGGCACATGTCTGTGTGTGAGTACACACGTCTGTGCGAGAGCACATGCATGTTGAGATCAGAGGGCAATCTAAAGTGCCATTCCTTAGGCAGCTTCCATGTTTTGTTTGAGACACTTTCCCTTGTCCTGGAATTTCAGACAATCTAGACCAGCTGACCAGTGAACTGCCAGGGATCCTCCTGGCTCTGCCTCCCAAATTGCCTGTGCTGGAATTAGAGGCATCTTTTTACATGTGTTCTGGGGATCCAACTCAAGTCCCCCCACTTTGCCCATGTCCCCAGCACTCTTTTTCTGGGTTTTGAGACAAAGACTCAAACAGCCCTGGCTAGCTTTAAACGTGCTATGTAGCAAAGATGACCTTGATTTTACAATCCTGCAACTACCTCCTGAGTGCTGGGATTACAGGAGCGTACCTCCACACCTGGTTCTTTTACGTACTGTAAACAGAACTCAGGACTTCATGCAAACTAAGCAGGCACTCGAACAACCAAGCTGCATCCCCAGTGCTTCATCCAAGTTTTATCAAGGCTGATCAAGGTGATTTCCTCCATCGAAGAGCCATCAACTTCTAACGCTAAATTAAATATAAATATGGTGAAATTAATATTGAATTAACTCTTCCCCTAAAATGTGGAAATGCAACCAGCCATTTTGTTTATTCAATTATAGTCTTCCCCACCCCCAGAGAAATACCTGCACCCAGTCCTGCCAATACTAAGAACCTTCATAGGCTGCAGACCTGGAGCTACAAACTCAGGTAACGTAACCCAAAAGGAGTTTGAAGAAAATTCCAGCAAGAAAATCTGTTGCCTTAATTAGATTAATTTTTCAGGCAAAACTATATTGGAAGGCTAAATTATTTGCATAATTGTCTTAATTCTTTCCTTAATTTAACAGCTTTATACTAAGGCAGAGGCAAAACTGTTTAATTTCAGTAGATGAGCCTTAAACAGCAGCTAAGGGGCTCATGTCCTGATAAATATTTTAAGCAAGGTCCAATTTGGGAGCAGGGACTTTTCTTTCCTGATCTACTAGAGACACATGTAAAATATTCATAATAAAACTAATATTTTTTTAGAGTGTCCCTGGGAAAATACTTTGGGGTGTACCTTGTAAGCACGCCACAATTCTGTCTCACTTGCTGGCCTGTGGGTATAGAAAAAGTTCCCCCTGTTACTCACTTTATTCTTTGCAAGTCGATGGAGCAATCCTACCTAATCCAAGAATTGGGGCTTATCCAGTGACCTTACATCCTCCCTCAAGAGTCAGTATGCAGAAGACAAACCCTTCTTGGGTTTAAACTGTCTTGGGTCTGGAGGAAGCTATAACAAGACTCATCCCTGTCCTCTGCATGGCCCATGAATTATCTCAGACTATTCTGCCATGCTTTTGAAATTTTTCTGCAAATGAAAATTAGAGGAAAAAACCTCACAAAGCTCCCTGATGATTAGCCCAGAACCATTGAAATCAAATATAACCACTTATATTTCCAAAGACAAGCGTGAATTTCAAAACAAAATCATCTCATAATAAAATTTTTTGTCCCTGTAAGTTTTGATTTATGAGGCTGTCTCTCACATAGAGACATCGGTTCTTTCTCCTATCCTGCAGAAATGTTTCCTTTCCTCCCATCCCTCACCCTTCCAATTGCACCCGTTTGAGTCGTACCTCTGTAGATATGACTAGAATACCCAAAACGGTCCTACGGGGGAGGAGTCATTTAGCTCACTGTTTTAGAGGATTCAATCCAGAATTGCTTGACCTCATAGTTTTGGGTAGAACACCATGTCAGTGGGAGCATGTGGAAGAAAAGGCTGTTGGCTTCAGGGTAACAAGGAGCAGTCAGTACGTTCAAGCATCAAAACCTTTCAGAAGACCACAGCCAAGCATTTCACTCATGAGCTGGTCAGTTTTCATTGCAAATTTGACACAACTTAGAATCACTGTGGAAGAAAGTCTTAGTGAAAAACTGTCCACATTAGATTGGTCTGTGGGTACAGTGTAGAAGATTGCCTTGGTTATTAATTAATGTGTAAGACTCAGCTCATCATGGAAGCAACCAACTCCTAGGCAGTGGATCCTAAACTGTTTAAGAGAGGAGAGAGCTAGAAAGCGAGCGAGCAAGTACGCATGCATGCATTACTTTCTCTGCCCCTGACTGTGGATGTGAGGAGCTGTTCCTGGCTTCCTCCACTGTGAATGTCCCGATATGATGGACTGTAACCTGGGGCTATAAGCAAAATCAACCTGTCTCTCCCATGTAGCTTTTTGACAGGATATTTTATCCCAGTAATAGGAATGGAACTATAACAGCAGCCCTCAAGTAGCTGGCATTGATGAGTACATATGTCTCCATTATTTTCCATTAGAGTGACCACATATACCGATAATGTTCAATTTAGGACCAAGGACAGTCATCATCCTAAAGAATGTCAAATGATGCTTCCTTTCATCTAGATGGTGTAATTTCTTAGTCTCCAGTTAAACCTTTTCCCATTTGTCTCATTCAATGAGAAGACATGGCAGTGATGTGAGTCTATCGATAACCCCAAATCCGCCCTACTATCGCAACTGAGTAATTAGCTCCTGTCCCTCAGTGTTTACAACCAGTGGCAAGTTCTTGAACTCTATCTGGCAACTGATTTGAGATACATTGTAATTATCTGGTTGGGAACTACTCGGAGAGAGTAGAATGGGGTATGTGTGGAGGATAGTTAATCTTGATTGCCAATTTGATGGGAATTAGATTCTTCACAAACAGAAATCAGGATATATCTGTGAGAGCATGTCTAGACTGAGGTAAGTGAGGTATAGAGATCCACTCTGAACGCTGGCAGTGCTGCTCCATTGCATGGAGTCCTAAACTTAATAAATGAGAATGCGAACAAGGTAGCAGCCTTTCTCTCTCTGCTGCCTGACTGCAGACGCAGTGTGCCCAGCTCTGGCTGCCATGACTTCCCTGTCGTGATGAACTGCCCCTCCAAACTTGACCAAAACAGACCCTTTCCTCCTTACGTGACGTTTGTTGGTCATTTGGTCACCACAGCAAAAGCAGTGACTAGTACAGAGGGTATCTTTAAACAGATTCCTTAAGAATACTGTGCATGAGCCATGGTTGATAGCTTGAAATACGGAGCCAAAGAGAATATTTAGGCTTGCTCTGCCCTTAAATAACTATCAGACTATAGAAAACTATTTCTGGGGCCTTTGTGTGTGTATTTTAAAGGGATCAGTCAGTATGTTCCTCAGAGCCTTGTCATGGGATACAGTCACAGTACAAACGGACTAGGCTCACCCACCAAGTACTGTTTACAGTCAGTGATCCTGTCAGCATAGCTACAGTCCTGTGGGAGAAAGAAAAGCCTGGGATAAAAAGTTTTGCAAAATAGTTTCTTTATAATTGATAAAGAAAACATTTCAATCCATTTGCACACTGCACAGATGTTTTAATTTTAAAAATATGTAGCCAATCCTGCAATAATGTGAAGTTACTGCCTAGGCCCACATTCATCTGCTGGAAAACCAATGTTGTGAAGCAATAAAATGGTCCATCTATCTTTGCATGCTCGCTAGATGAGCCGTTTTGAAAGTATACAGCTTTGAAGTCTGTCTGGGATCCAAGCTATTTTGACTAATTACTTTGAAGTTAAATAAAGTGAAACATATCCAGAAATCCTAGTGCTCAAATAAATGGGTTCTAAAGAGCTTTGAACTGTTTGGATTAAAAATTCTTTCATTTTTAAATAGTAGGAAAAGTTTTTAAAGTATTTTTGCTTAAACAATCTGGTTTAAAAAAAGGAAGAAAGAATGAACAGTTTGACAGCAAGCAGGTTTACACTATCTTAAAAAATGAAGACAAAACATGAAAGCATGTACGTTACGGAAACCACATGAAACAGATCCCAAATCAAATAATTCAAGGAAATCTGTCCAATACCAGTGTTTTGAAATAGTTTGCAAATTTAACCATTAATGGAAATGGCTTAAAATTCCAAAAAAAGCTGATGGCCATTTCTAAATGCCTCATGTTCAAATTTGATAAAAGATCATAATAGTTTTAGAACTCACGGTTTATCTCTGCTCGCTTCCTAGGTTACCTAGAGAATGGGAGTAGACAGCAGGAGAGGGAAGGGCCCTGCATCTGCTGAAGCCTGGCTGTGAACCCCTTTTCCTCACCCTCTCCCTCTGGTGCTGCTGCTGCTCTCTGGGACCTGCAGTTTCTGATTTAGATTGGATTCCTCCTGAATGCTAAGACTGGTCAAGACCTTCATGCAGGGAGCTTGGGGGTGGCCTGAGAAGAGGACTGAGAGTTCCAAGGGGTGACTGTGACAAGGAGGAGAAACTGCTACAGATATCTGGAGACAGACACCACCTCTGCTGGTCAATTGAGTAGGAAGATCTGGGAGCCCACCTGAATTCTCAAAGCGTCGCATAGGTTCCCGAACACTTTTGATACTGTATTTTGAGACAGAAAGCGAGAGAAGCGCAGCGGGAATTGGAGTAAAGACTCACAGGAGAGTGGATACTACAGCAACGGCTGGGACAAATCATAGCGAGAGGGCAGCAGAGCACAAGAAATGCCCATCATAGTCTTCTACGCATGACAGGAGATCACTATTTTGAACTATGATCCTGCACTGGACCCCAAAACGCTAGACTGTAAATCAAGAGGTTGGAGAAACGGTCAAAGGTTGAAAGTCTGTACTGTTCTTCATAGGGCCAGAGTTCAGAGGAGGCAGGTTAGTAGGCTCACAACCACTTCCAACTCCAGGTCCAGGGTCTCTGATGCCCTCTTTAGACCTCTGCAGGAACTGTGCTTACTTGCACAAACCCACACACAGATAGACGTATGGTGAAAATAGATAAATAAAATCTTCTCCCCCCCCCCTTTTAGAAAATAAAGGAATATCAAATGTAAGCATCCATACTTAACTTCCATATAACAAAACTGAAAATCAGCTGTCTGACCTTGATGGAAATCAAGAGAATGAGAGAGAAGCAGCATTCTCAAATCAAGCCAATTTAAATGGCACGACAATGGCATTTCTTCTGCCCTAATCCTGACGCTAAAAGGACCATGTGATATCTACCAACTAGCTGCCTTTCTGCTCTGCCTCCCTGTCTCTATCTCACAAGAGAGGTAACTCTGAAATAATCAGTTGGCTTCTGGCCTTTGCTCCCCAAGATCCTCTGTAAAGACACTCCCTCTGCTCAGCTCACTGGAACACATGCTCTAGCCTAGAGAATGAAGTGATGCCCAGCTCTAGAATTAAAAGTAAATAAATAAACCAATTAAAATCTTTACATTGTAAACTTGTCCTTTAATGCAGTCAAATATTAACATTGCCAGGACTTTCTAAGCATAATCAATACTTCGGTGTCTACTCCTTGGGCTGAAACCCAGTCTTGCTCTTTGACCAGTGGACCCTTAGTTCCTCATCTAACTCTTCCCTCTCTGCACGGTTTCCTGATCTAAATGAGGTAGAGGCTGCCACTCCCACCTTTCCCCATCCTGGCTCTGAGACAGAAAGGAGCACTCCCCTTCCTTCTTGGCATCTCAGCCCACCTGACGACTACAATCCCCACACCCTTCTCTTAGTGAAGTTAGGAAAGCGTTAGGAAGTGAGTCAGGGCCCAGGACCTGCTTTCCAATTGGTCTGAGTAGGATGGATGAAGGATGCTCCGCCTTTGCTGCAGATGGTAGAGAGGGTCGGGAGAAGTCGTTACAGCCCCAGCCAAACCGCATTCTCCAATCTCATTTCACCAGCTAATAAATCTGACACGGTGATCCGTGTCTGCTGCCTCAGTGTTTCCCATCTGGCCCCTCTATTACCTTGCACGTTCCCAGAGAGCAGTGATCTTTCTTTAATTCGCCCCTGCAACCCACACGTCTGGATCAGAACTTGGCACATAGGGCATGCTCAGTAGTTACAAGTTTATAAAATTAGCAAACCCACAGGAGTGAGAACAGGATTAACACTCCAGACTCTTTCCACTCTCTTAACACCCCTGTCGCAGTACTTAAGGTATCCTAGTTGCCTGATGAAATCTGATGCTCGCAGTTGACTTCCCAAGGACCAGACATTTTGTCTACCCTGGTTTTTTTTCCTCCCAAATGCCAAGCAGCGTGGGGATTCAGGTCTAGAAAGTGTTCCAAAAGGAAGGCTGTGAACGCGAAGGAAAAAGAATGCAATAACATCATATGCTGGCTGTCTTCTTTTCATTGCTCATGCTAGAGATTCCTTTGTTTTCAACTTGTAGCACAGGGCTAATGAATCACCCTCAAGCTTTTTTCCAGAACTCTGAAGAATGGAAAAACAAGATAAGGCAAGAGACAAAGCCCAGTGGGCGGATGCTGACAGAGGCTCTTGGCTCCTCAGCATCTGTTCATGAACTCGGAGGAGAGATGTGATTCAAGGGGAGCGCTGTTAAGATCTTTGGTGGCTCCCAAAAAAAAATCTCCAAAGGGAATCCTCAAAAGAGAAAGGGTGAAAATGAAGATACTATTGGTGCTCTAAAGACTTACAGGAGGGGCAACTACATGGAACTGGTGGCAAATATTCGCCAGCAGCCTCAGTCCACCTCCTCACCTTATTGTGTTTGCTAAACTCAAGGAGGCGATTAGAATTTAACATCTGTAATCTTAGGGAGAGATGGGAGAGAAAGAATTCTTGATACAAAGGCAAAAGACTCTAGCAGGGGTGATAGACCAGCACGTAGCAGAACGGATGGAGACACAGTAGATCTTTGACAGTGTCTATCAAGTGCTTGGGTGTGGCTCTGACCTCTCATCACCAGTGACAGGAGCTGGCATTTCCACTTTGCTCCCAAGGAGGTGACCTATGAATATCGAGTTCTTTGGTGGGGCTCTGCTCCTAGGCAGAGGAAAGGTTTCAAGAATTAGATCTCGACTCAGAGGAGCATTTGTTTTACAACTGTGTGGTCTGTAACCCTTCAAATATTTTGTCCCTGGCACTGCATCTTAGGCAGGTGCACAGTAACGATAAAAAGCAGAGCAAATCTCTATAGGTTTTCCTATTGTTTTACAGGGCTCTGTAGACAGCGTACTCCCTCACTGTTGGAAAAAGCAAAAGGAAGGGATGCTATTATGCAAGCAAGAAAGGAGCCTTGGTTACACACTGCCAGATTCACGGGCTCTTACAGAGCATTTTGAGACTTCTGCGATTAGCCTTCCATCTATGTAGACTGGAAGCTCCATGGAGTCAGGGACATTTCACTGTCAGCCTAGCAAAGACTGGCACAGGGTGGTAGACTTTTAATAATGTCTGTTCCATGAAGGATAAGGAGGACCCAACTCAGGTATGAGCACAAAAGTCCCCAAAGCCATTATGTATGCAATGCCAGCCAACCCAACTGTGTCCAAATCCCACAAACCCGTTTGAGAACTGGCTAGGTCCTCAAATCCATTCATAATAGAATGATAAAGGAAAGGCAACTCATTTTCTATGCATATATGCTTCTTTGTTCTAAAGGTTCAGAGATGATGGCAGCATGTGTACGCAGGTACCACAGTCCTCACTCTTGACTCTGTATATGAAAGAAGAGGCAGGAAAACTGTAACCGTCAGAGCGATGGCGACTCCAAGCAAACAGTGTCTTCCAGACCCAAGAGGACTCATGCACATATAAATTCACAGAGACTGGTGGCATGTACAGATCTTCACAGACTCAAACCAGAAGGGGTCCCAGCACTGAGAGGAGGTAGCAGACACAAGGTCCCACCCCTAACCAAGAAGCTGGCAAAGGGAAAATTAGAGTTCTCCAGTGGAGAGTCACTGGGTACATCAACCACACTTCAGGGCAGGCCACACGCCCACGAATAGTTGTACTTTTGTGGACTGCTTGTTTTGTTTGTTTGGACTATTTTTTTCTTCTTGGTCTTTTGCTTATTTATTTTGATTTTTGTCATGTGGGGGTTTTTGTGTTTCTTGATTCTTTTTGTTTTATTCTTGTTTTCTTTTTATTGTTATTTTATTTTGAAAGAGAGAGAGGGAAAAATAACATGAAGTTGGGTAGGTGGGAAGGTGGGGAGGATCTGGGAGGAATTGGCAGAGAAGAAAAAAATTATCAAAATATATTGCATAAAATTTTTTATTTTCAATAAAAAGGGAGTGAAATATAGCAGTATTTTGCAATTTTGATATGTTGTGTTAATTAAAATATATTACTTTATAATGTAGACTTTGGGGGCTGGAGAGATGACTCAGAGATTAAGAGCCATCTGCTGGCTGCTCTTCCAGAGGACCTGCATTCAATTCCCAGCAACCACATGGTGGCTCACAACCATCTGTAATGAGATCTGGTACCTTTTTCTGGCCTGCAGGCAGAACATTATATACATAGTAAATAAATCTTTTTTTATTTTAAAGATATTTGAGTAAGGTTAAAAAAATTAAAAATATAAGAATTTTCTAGCCGGGCGGTGGTGGCGCACGCCTTTAATCCCAGCACTCGGGAGGCAGAGGCAGGCGAATCCCTGTGAGTTCGAGGCCAGCCTGGTCTACAAGAGCTAGTTCCAGGACAGGCACCAAAAACTACAGAGAAACCCTGTCTCGAAAAATAAAAAAAAAAAAAAAAGAATTTTCTATGCTGCGAATAACCAGGGGAGTTCCTTCTGTTTGTGTGTTGCTTTCATTGGTTAATGAATAAAGAAACTGCCTTGGCCTAGTTGACAGGTCAGAACTTAGGTAGGCAGAGTAGACAGAACTGAATGCAGGGAAGAAGGGCAGAGTGGCAGACACCATGGATCTCCTGCCTCAGACAGACACTGGTTAGAATTTTTCCAGTAAGCCACAGTCACGTGGTAATACACAGATTAATAGAAATGCATTAAATTAAGATGTAAGAATTAGCCAATAGGAAGTAAGAGCTAATGGACCAGGCAGTGTTTAAATGAATACAGTTTCTGTGTGGTTATTTCGGGTATAAGATAGCCAGGCAGCCGGGACAACAAGCAGCCCGCTCCTCCTGTTACAGAAGTCTGTCTACAACTACAGTAGAATACTCAGTAGAGACTGAATTAGTGAGAGACCACAGATACAGTTTGGCATTCTGAATGTAGAAAGGTTGACTCGCCACACAGGATTTAATAAGAAACATTTATCTGCAGTTTTCAACCCAATTGTCTTGGTCTACAGTCAGTCACTAAATGCTGTGTTGCTAAAAGTAATAATTAAGCTTGAATGTTTATTTCCTTTTAATATAAACAAAGCATACCTAAAGTTACCAGTGATTCATTCTCATACATGCTTTGGTTTTTCTATCCTTGATGATAAAAGAAACACTAACTAAATATAGGTATTTCATAGATTATTCATTAGTTTGTTGCTTTAATCATGGTTAGACAGGTGTGTGTGTGTGTGTGTGTGTGTGTGTGTGTGTGTGTAGTTATGTACAATTTCTAACACAAAATGTGATGGCAATAGAGAGTAATGAGTCTATAGGAGGTAATACGACAATACGACCACGGAGGCAGAGCCCTTATGAAAAGTTAAATACCCTTATAAAAAATAGAAAGACCCAAGAAAGCCCCCTCACCCTTCCACAGGTGAGGACACAGCGAGGAAGTGGCCCTCTGTGAGCAAAGAGCAGGTTCTTCGTAAACACCCAGCCTGCTGATGTCTGGACTTCACAGCTTCCAGAACTATAAACACAGAATTCCTTCTGTTTATAAGCCACACACTTACAGTCTTAGGGTAGACTTCTAAGGCAGCCTCAAGGGCTCTCTGCCCCTCCCTGATCTCCCTCTCAATTCTTTCTCCTCCAAAGCTCAGGAAGGACTTTGTCTGAAGCTCAGTCATCTAACTAAAGATTAACTCATCAGAGGGAAGCACATTTTTCTCCTGTCTATTTTGAGTTTTCATTAACCAAAGAAGATTAAACTTACATCCCTCAGAAAGGCACAAAGAATCAAACACTGGGCTTGAAATGTGGCTCCGTCTGTAGGGTGTTTACTTAGCGTACACAAAGCCCTGACTTCAATCCCCAACCCCACATAAACCAGATGTGGTGGAGCAACCTTGTGATTCCAGTACTAGATGGAGGTGGGAAGATCAGAAGTTCAAGGTCATTCTCAGTTAAGTAGTAGATTTGAGGCCAACCTGGGAGACAGGAGGCCAGGACTTGTGGGGTGGCACGGGGGACATATGAATCAAATATCACAGCTAGAGCAGAGGAACTTGGTCCCAGGCCTCTGCTCTTTCAGCCCTGTCATGTCCCTGAAATACCATGGGCTCTCTGGTCTTCCCCAGGAAAGAGCACACCCGCTGGTCAGTTTTTCTGTATGTACTTAGGATGTATGTGTGTATGTATGTATTATGCATGTATGTACGTGTAATAAAAATTAATGGAGAAGTGGTCATATGCTTGGAAGAGAGCAAGAAGAGACGAGACATATGGGAGACTTTGGAGGGAAGAACAGAAAGGCAGAAATAATGATTATATTATAATCTGAACAAGATAATTTTTAAAAATTATTTATTCCCCTCCTACAATCCCTCCTCTACTATAAAGAGAATATTTCAGCCTCTAGTGCCTGGACTCTTCTTGAATCTCATTCTTAGCATGACTCCTGTACATATGTGTATGCTAGCAAACTTGTACACTTTTTCTCCTGTTAAGCTGCCCATTCTTAATTTATTTCAGCAGACTCAATTTTCAAATCTTCAGAGGAAATTCTGAATACCTTGTAAATCTTTTCTGTATGGCTGCCCAGGAAAACTAGGTTTTGGGTGTTTTGTGTTTAGGGGAATGAAGACCACAGAAGAAACTTGCAGTCTCTGCACAACGTAGTAAACACCCCTTCAGTAACTTAGCACTGACAGAGATAACCTTCTTTGCCTGGCTGAGACAGAGCCCGCTGGGCTCCTCCTGTCCATGCCGCAGAAGGTGTAGGTGCCATATGCACTTGATAAACTGTTAATTGAGCACCAGAAGCCCCATTTTTAGAAGAAAGTGAGAAAACAGGTTAAATCATTTCCTCTGGTTGCTTTAAAGGTGTTAATTTGCAAAAATGAAATTGAACAGCCCAGGCTTGGTCAACACTTTCTTTCTCACGTTCTTTAGGCAAATCATTTACAATATAATGCATGTTGGGAACTCCTGGGGAACTCTTTTGAAACGTAAAATCTCATTGTTTTCGGAATGAGCACAGATTGAGGAGTTACAGAAACAGTCCTGCTCAGTTGCTCTGGAATGAGCGGGAATCCTTAAACCCTTAAATTTAGATCTCAGGGATCTAAAAGAATCAACAGTTTAAGAACTGTTCTAATGTTTGAGTTGTAGCCAAGCCACTGTTTAACCTTGGAGCAAGTATTTTGTTGACTTTCAAGTTCAGCTTCCCCATCTGTTAGTGACCAGTGCAAGGACAACCTCCAAGTCAATGTGAGAAATAGAATGTTAAACCAGGCCTGTGGTAATAAATCTGCAATCCCAGCACTTCAGAGGTAGAGGCCTGAGAATCAGAAGTTCATCATCAGAAGGTCATCCTTGGCTATATAGCCAGTTCAAGGCCAGCCTGAGCTTATATGAGACCCTAGTTTAGCTATTTTAGAAAAAAAATAAAATACATATTATAGTTCAGCTTAATTTCTACCTTGAATTCCATTTACACTTGAATTCATTGATCTGGAACCTTCTGTCCTTTCACCCAATGGTTGTAACCATGTTCTGAGAGGAAGTATAAAGATCCTGTAGAAGAATGTTTATCTTGCTCCCACATCATCTGTCCATATTAATGTCTAAATGTTCAATTCTTTGATCCTTTTACATCAGCTCTGCTTGAGAACAATATGACCACCCTAGACATCTCTTAAATATAATTCTTTTTCTCACCCAGGGCTCTTTGCACTTTATTGAAACATTTGAGTGTGTAAAATTGTCTCCTACTTCCAATCCAGTCTGGAACTTAGAAAACTGTAAGGCCACCAGTGGCACCTGCGCCCAATCTCACGCAACCCCTGTCCCCTTTCTCACGCAATTGGAAGATCTCTCTGAGACTGCGTCTGTGCTGTGACGTTGGGGCATTCTGACATGTGCAAACTTCTCTTTGGTTTTTCTTGTCCCTTGGTCCCTTGACTGTGTGTGCTTCTCCACAAGAGTTCACCAATATAACAATCTTCTATTTCCTTAATACTTAACCCTCTAATCCTAACAACCTTTTTGTGGAGAAGATTCCTATCAAATTGATATGTTTGCTCTTGGGATGTTTCTTCTCAAACCTCTTATCTCTGTCCTGAGAATGTCAGCTTCCTCTAGAGTCTCAGGCTTTCAAAATGCAGAGCAAGGAAAATTCTTCTTCTCTGTCATCTGCAATACTATCCCTTTCCTGTGATTATTAAATGGACCAGCAACTCACACAAGGAGTGAACAGGGAAGAAAAATCCCTGAAAAAAAAAAAAAACAGAAAAAACTGGAGGGTTTATTTGTCTTAACAGGTAAATGTGTGCTCACAGATGAGGATCCACACAGAGCAGGTGTGTTCCTCAGGTCAGGATCATGCTGTGACTTCTCTTTGACCTCCCCTGACTCCCTAAGCGAAAGGACCAGTAAAACAGAGAAATCACTGAGAGACAACAGAAAGCAAAAGCCCGGTGTAATGATACACACAGCATCAAGGAAGAGACAGCTACTATGTTTGAAGAATAGCTGGTCGCTAAACATATTTCGTGAAGGGACCTCATAGGAATAGTGGGTAGAGAGCCTAAACTCTTTTTAACAACATAAAAAATTGGGTGAGGGATATCAAATGGCAAAGTACACATTAAGATGAACAAGACCTTTGAGTTTGATTTCCAGTGTGGCGTGCGCACGCGCGCGCGCACACACACACACACACACACACACACACACACACACACACCAGAAAAGAAAAAAATACACAGAAAACAAATAGATTTTGCAAGCTCTTTCTTTGTTTTTGTTTTTCTGGTTAACAGATGATAATCATTAGCTTCTGCATGTGACAGGAAAATACCCTGCAGTGACTCAGCAGAGTCACAGGCCAGACCACGGAAAGGGACTGGTCCTCTGAAACCTCAGCACCTTTAAACTTAGTCTACATGGAGCCTCGCCTTGAGAACTCAACTTTTTTTTGTAAGTCTTTTTATTGAAACAAGTGCAGATTTTATGGCCTAGACTGCAGAGTTTGCATGAACTTTTCAGATCCGGGGAAAAGCCAGTGTTCCTGTGTACAACCCTCTGGATGCTTTGGTCCTTCTCAGAAGCTGGGTGGGGAGGCTTGTCAGGCTTATCTCAAAACTTAACCAGTCGTGTAAATAAAACCCTAGGAAAGCTGAAGCCCTGCTGAAGAGCGCTTTTATTTTCTGGGGCCAAGTCATTCCTCCTTCCACTTTTGACTATTACAAATTCATTAATGCTTCTGGGTTTTGGTGGTGTTTGTTTGGGCTTGTATGGAAGCAGCCTCTGAAATGGAGCCCAGTGGCCTTTCCTATTGGCACTCACATATTTTGGGATCCCCTTACTTTGAGTGTGATCTGTGCCGTGGGACTGGCTTCTAAGGAAGAAGGCATGGCAGAAGGGTGGGATGTCAGGTCCATGGTTGAGTTGTTATAACAGGATATTTCTGCCCCTTACCTTCATACATTGAAAATTCACCCAAAAGGTGATGAAGGTGATGGTATTAGAATGTGAATCTTTAAGAGGGGATAAAGTCAGGTAGCCTGTGCCTTCATTAATGAATTAAATGTCCTTTCAAAAGAGCCAAAGATAGACTCCTTGTCTGTTGTAGGAAGGCTGCTGGTTCATTTCCAAGATGCCCAAACTCCCGAAATAACCACCCAGAAACTGTATTATTTAAATAACTGCTTGTCCAATCCCTTAAGCGTATTGCTAGCTAACTCTTATGTCTAGAATTAACCCATTTCCAGTATTTTATATTTTACCACAAGGCTCGTGGCCTACCAGTAAGTTTCCGGCATGTCTATCTCAGGCTACAGCTTTTTTTATGACTTTTCCTTGACTCTGCCTCCTTTCTCCCAGCATTCAGTTTAGCCCACCACCCCCCCCACCCCCGCCAGCTCTGCTCTGCCCTATCAACATGCCAAGACAGTTTCTTTATTAACCAGTGGTATTCACAGCATACAGAGGAATCCCACATCACTTGTCCCTCTAAAGAAACAGCATGAAGGAACTGTCTATGAACCTGGAGGGAGGGCCTCACGAGATAAGGAATGTTCCACCATCTTGATCTTGGACTCTGTAGTGATTTTGATAAGAATGACTCTCCTTGGCTCATATATTAGAATGTGTGGTCCCTCGTGTGTAAAACTGTCTGGGGAAGGATTAGGAAGTATGGTCTTGTTGGAGGAGGTGTAACACTGGAGGGGGAGTTTTCAAAAGCCCACCCCATGCCCAGTCTCTCATTCTCTCTTCCTGCTGCATGTCGAAGAGATGTAAACGCACAGCTACTGCTTCCGTGGCATGCCTGCCTGTCTGTTGTCAAGTTTCCACCTTGATTGATGGTCATGGACTCACCTCCAGAGACTGTAAGCAACCCCCCAATTAACTGCTTTTCTTTATAAATTGCCTTAGTCAAGGTGCCCCTTCACAGCAATAGAAAAGTAACCAAGACAGACTTTGCAGCCTCCAGAACTATCAGGGATAAATTCTGTCTTAATTTCATTTCTGTTGCTGTGATAAAATAGCCTGACAAAGCAACTTAAGGAAGAAAAGATTTGTTTAGCTTGCATCTCCTCTCCTGGCTCTCTCACTAGCTCCCTCTGGTGAACGCCCGTGCCACCTACTGCAAGTCACC